TTCGGGGATTTATAATTTTTTTTTTTTTCGCGTTTTTTTTTTTTTTTTTTTTTTTTGAAAAATTCTTTATCGCGATCGAATAATATTTCGAGACATTTCGTAGGGCAGCTAAAAGCAGGCGCATTGTCTGCCTCTCTCATTTTTTCCGTCCGTCTTTCACCCTGGCGCCGTCCATTTCCGGGGATTACGTCAGACAGTCGCGTCTGCCAAGATTCGTAAAGATGTCCTTTTCGCCATCTCTAGTGCCAAGCCTATGTATCGGAAACTCGCATCTCTTTGTTTATCTATATAGAGTGAGTCGCGAAAAACGTGTTACGATCAAAAGAGACAAGTAATTGCTTGTGCAAAAAATTAATCAAAAATAGAATATATAACTTTTTCGAGCCTTTGATTTCGAGAAAATTGACTTTACAAACTGAAAAATTGATAACATATATGCGCTCGTTTAAGTTTGAATGACTTTCGTAATTAAAGTATATAATGTTACTATTGTGTCTATCTAATCTATTTCTTCCTCCTTTTTTTTTACAACTCGAGAAAATATTGTTATCCATCCTCTTGTCGTCTTATGATCTATCGATCTTACGACACCCTATAGAACGATATACGGAAGTCCGCGAGAATCTCTTTGATCCCGCGACTCGCTTTCGCTTGGCTCGGGGGTGACATTATTACCCTGCAAGCGTTTCGTTTGAGCATAGAATCTCGTTGCGACCATAACGACGCGTAGTTATTACGACTTGCCAGTCCTCCCTCGGACATATCGCCGTTGCATTTTGTAATTTTGTTCCGGACCGACTTCTCTCGGTAAATATATCCCTCCAGCGACCTAACGTAATATAATCAAACTCTAGTTCTACCTTAATTCTCGCCGTCTAATCCGGAACCGAGCGCCAACTAAGAACGCTTCTTTTTCGCCACGACAATTAAGTAACATTAAGTTTACTGTAGCTTTTTCCGCTAAAGCACAGGCAAAACTTGATTAGATCTTTTACGTTATACGATATGTTTACGTGAGATATGATGGTTGAGAAATATTAATTTGTTATACTTTACCTCATTTACGCTATAGCGACTTACTAATTTTTTTATATCGATAAAGTTGATAACTAATAACGAATACAATTGGAAGCGCTAGTACAGCCAACAAAATTCGCTATAAAAGAAAGATTGAAATTCTGTCAAAATGTAGTTAAAACTTACTTAATTCACATTAATCTCTATATTAGAGAAAATAAATAAGGAAATAATCTGCTCGTCGTTGGGGATGCGTTCCTATTGTTTTTTTTTTTTGAAAAATTCTTTATCGCGATCGAATAATATTTCGAGACATTTCGTAGGGCAGCTAAAAGCAGGCGCATTGTCTGCCTCTCTCATTTTTTCCGTCCGTCTTTCACCCTGGCGCCGTCCATTTCCGGGGATTACGTCAGACAGTCGCGTCTGCCAAGATTCGTAAAGATGTCCTTTTCGCCATCTCTAGTGCCAAGCCTATGTATCGGAAACTCGCATCTCTTTGTTTATCTATATAGAGTGAGTCGCGAAAAACGTGTTACGATCAAAAGAGACAAGTAATTGCTTGTGCAAAAAATTAATCAAAAATAGAATATATAACTTTTTCGAGCCTTTGATTTCGAGAAAATTGACTTTACAAACTGAAAAATTGATAACATATATGCGCTCGTTTAAGTTTGAATGACTTTCGTAATTAAAGTATATAATGTTACTATTGTGTCTATCTAATCTATTTCTTCCTCCTTTTTTTTTACAACTCGAGAAAATATTGTTATCCATCCTCTTGTCGTCTTATGATCTATCGATCTTACGACACCCTATAGAACGATATACGGAAGTCCGCGAGAATCTCTTTGATCCCGCGACTCGCTTTCGCTTGGCTCGGGGGTGACATTATTACCCTGCAAGCGTTTCGTTTGAGCATAGAATCTCGTTGCGACCATAACGACGCGTAGTTATTACGACTTGCCAGTCCTCCCTCGGACATATCGCCGTTGCATTTTGTAATTTTGTTCCGGACCGACTTCTCTCGGTAAATATATCCCTCCAGCGACCTAACGTAATATAATCAAACTCTAGTTCTACCTTAATTCTCGCCGTCTAATCCGGAACCGAGCGCCAACTAAGAACGCTTCTTTTCCGCCACGACAATTAAGTAACATTAAGTTTACTGTAGCTTTTTCCGCTAAAGCACAGGCAAAACTTGATTAGATCTTTTACGTTATACGATATGTTTACGTGAGATATGATGGTTGAGAAATATTAATTTGTTATACTTTACCTCATTTACGCTATAGCGACTTACTAATTTTTTTATATCGATAAAGTTGATAACTAATAACGAATACAATTGGAAGCGCTAGTACAGCCAACAAAATTCGCTATAAAAGAAAGATTGAAATTCTGTCAAAATGTAGTTAAAACTTACTTAATTCACATTAATCTCTATATTAGAGAAAATAAATAAGGAAATAATCTGCTCGTCGTTGGGGATGCGTTCCTATTGCATAAGAGGTCATTGACCTTTGAATCCTCGAGGATTTTTCGAAGAAACACACGTCGCATGTATACGCGCTGCGTCATGATCCACCGATGAAAAATGCACTTTGGACAAAGATTGTTTCGAGCGTGTTTGGAAGAAGCGAGCGGAAAAAGTGTTGTTAGGCGAAAAGAGAAGAACGAGTGCCAATGGGGTAGAGGGGCTATATGGAATGGAACTCGCGTAGCTCGCATTACTTTGCAGCTTTTTAATGGCATGTATCTTTGTGATCGATCGATAACTTTGCGAAACTTCTCTTTCGACACTTTTCCGTTAATTTTTGGTGATTTTTAATCCATTATCGAGCCGTTTTCCATATTTTCTCCCTTTTCAATAATTATTAAAATAATTAAAAAATTAACTCTTTGTATTTCATTTTATATAAAAAAATACTAATAAATAAAAAAGTATATATATATTTTTATCAAATTTATATTATAAATATATTGAAAATATATAAAGCGCAAATTTAAATATAAAATTAAAATTATTTATTTCTTCGTAACACGTTACAGACAGAAACTCGTAACCTTTCGACAACATTTCCAATATTCTCCGTCTCTATTGATTTTCTGATATCCGGTCACCCGACCAGAAGTCGGTGCGGAAAAACGCGCTGCGGAAACGCCATAATTATCGGTCGATGAAACGAGGCAAAGCAAACTGAGAAGTGGAGTGCGCGGAAAAAGACGCTCACCATGGCGGCGGCGGCCACTCGCAATCGGATATAAAGAGCGCTGAATTTCCCAATAAAAATAGGCGGCGTTTTCTAAAAGCTCGCGGATTAAATTCACGATGCGTATAGATTCGTGTATTGAGGGGGGGGAGGAAAAAACGGATAAAAGTTGGATTTCCCCTCCTCTTTCTCTTTCTCTCTTGCCCACGTATCGCCGCCATAGCAACGCCATAGCAGCTGCAATCCGCCTATACCTTTGAGCGACGTACGTACAAAAAGCGAAGCAAAGGGCGCTCGAACTGTAAAACAAACAACTTATTCGTGAAAGGCGAGCGTATGGGAAGTTGTTGAGGAGAGGAGAGGAGAGGAGAGGAGAGGAGAGGAGAACCGGCAACCCTCGAAGGAACGCTGCGCGCCGCCGGCGCCGGGGGGAAGGCATTCGAAAAGAGTTAATACGCCGATGGATCCAAGTGGCTGGCACACAAACACAAACATAGAGATATATCATTATCTATCTAGCGATTGGAAAATCATGCCTCGCGCAGACGTTTTGGCGTATTTGACCGGATGGAGGATAACGATTTGGTCGCGGACCAAGATTTAAGGGATGATCGAACTCGGGCAGCTTCATTCCCGAGTTGAAACCAATTTTCGAGTCGAGATTCCCGAGGAGACCGAACAAGATTTCGAGATTTCGAGATTTCGAGATTTCGAGATTTCGGGATCGAATAAAGAAAAGGACCAAGCTGGCGAAAGTCAAAATGTCGAATTTACCAAATGCGGGATTTTCGAATTTTCAAACAAAGTTGGATAAATGTGGATTGCCTGGAAACTTTGTCTCGCTTTCATTATTTGGGTCCACGTATTTGGTAATTCTCCATTCCGTGTAAGAATTACTATACGAATGGCGAATACAAAGTCTGGCTTTTAATTCATTCGCGTTACCGTTATTCGGAATTTCACGCGTCGCTTTTAGCCTTCTTTCGTACCGTTCTCTCAGGGGACTACTAGGCAACTACTAGAGCTAGAGATACTAATAAAAAAGAATAAAGAACATCTTTGTCGTCGCCATGGCCTTTTCCGTCGGGGTACATTCAACCAGAGACTACTCCTACGAGTATAAATTAAGTCTGAGTCACGAGTCTCGGCAGAGTCTCGTAAACCGCCTAGAACTCACGTAAAGCCAACTTGAGACTCGCGGTGCGGAAATAAAGAAACATGGCTCTCTTAATCTTCTCTCTCCCTAGCCCAGCATTTCTGTCCTCTGTCCTCTTTGCTTTTAAATGTTGAAAAAATGTTTGAACGTCTTCTAATTACATTATCTCTCTTCTTCTAGCCCCGTAAACATTTTATTCATAATTATACTTAAAATTACTTTAGATATTACATTCATATTTTAATTTTTAATTCATGCGCGCTCTTTTCAAACACAGAATATTTGCGCGTGATCTTTTAAAAGAATGTTAGTTATACGTATAAAATAATGATGATAAAAGCGCGTGAGTAATTGGAAAATTTAATAAATAAATGTTTATTTTTTTATATAGGACGTCTTATAAAGGAGAGAGAAGATAAATTAAGTCTGAGTCACGAGTCTCGGCAGAGTCTCGTAAACCGCCTAGAACTCACGTAAAGCCAACTTGAGACTCGCGGTGCGGAAATAAAGAAACATGGCTCTCTTAATCTTCTCTCTCCCTAGCCCAGCATTTCTGTCCTCTGTCCTCTTTGCTTTTAAATGTTGAAAAAATGTTTGAACGTCTTCTAATTACATTATCTCTCTTCTTCTAGCCCCGTAAACATTTTATTCATAATTATACTTAAAATTACTTTAGATATTACATTCATATTTTAATTTTTAATTCATGCGCGCTCTTTTCAAACACAGAATATTTGCGCGTGATCTTTTAAAAGAATGTTAGTTATACGTATAAAATAATGATGATAAAAGCGCATGAGTAATTGGAAAATTTAATAAATAAATGTTTATTTTTTTATATAGGACGTCTTATAAAGGAGAGAGAAGAAAAAAGAAAATAGAATAGTGATGTTTATCTGTAAATATAGATTTAAATTTTTCAAGTTCTTCGACAATTTTCTTATTATCCTTTATGTTTCATTGTCAGCTGAAAGCATTCTATGTGGACCTGCTGGTGCCATTGGAGACCAATCTGGAGAAGGACACGAAAGTCGTTCAAGTAAGTAAACCGTGTCTCGAAACTGATCCTCGAAAGGGACATTACTCGTCCCCGAGTCCCAGACTTTTGATGACAATGAATAATGCAACGCCGGGGGATGGACTTTCAGAGCGAGCAGAAGAAGTTTCTTCAGCAGCACAAGACTAGATCCGAGACCTACAGCAAGGCGGCCGCTACCATGAAGAAACAAAGAAAAAAGTCCAGAGCCGCTAATAAAAGCGGCCTCGCCATGGACAAGGAGCTAAAGAACATGCAGATTCTCGAAGAGGAGAAGACCAAGCTCGATGCCTTCTGCGAGCAGAGCCTGAAGAATGTAAGTAACGAGTAATTATAAGATTATCAATTTATCAATCTACATTGAGAATTGTCGAAGAAGTCTTTGCGTTATTATCATATGATGTTATAGAGTTTTTCATTTCTCTAAAAGTGAATAAATTATTTTACACGAGTGTAAAATAATACACGTGCAATGCAAAATCTTGCAGAGAGAACGAATGTAAAAGTGATTATTAAATATATTAGAGAGATGACGGAGATGATGGATTATACCGATGAGAGATTCATTAACGCGGCGAATCCATTAATACTCGCACGTTCTTTTCACAGGCGATGACTCAGGAGAGACGACGATACGGTTTCGTGTTGGAGCGACAATGCTCCTTGGCGAAGCACTATGCGAGTTTTCATGAGGTTGCACTCGCCGCGCTTCATCCCTCGGTTGATAAATGGCGCGAGGTTGCCGCCACCAGGGAATATCTGCCCCAGTCGGTGGAGGACATGTTCGCTTCCAGACTCAGGGTAAATTCGTGGACCGAGTCGATCGCGTAAATCTCTCCTAACGATTCACACCTGGATCCGAATTGATCCAAGCGCGAGGACCTATTCTCGCGCTTCTTGTGATTTCGTGTTTAATTACATCATTCGATAAAAGTTTTAACAAATTGTATAATATTATCTTTATGTATAAAAGTGATTAATACGATAAAAAGACAACGCGCGATATTAAGAAGTGTGAATTATAATTTTATAGCAATTTACATCTTGGCAGCAAACATCATTCTGGCCGGATGAGAATGAGGAGAACGGCGGCTCCGAACTGACGACGATGAGCTCGCAATTGCGAAAGACACGAAGCATGGACAGCTCCTGCCTAGAACTGCGATTGGGCCCATTACCCGGGAATCCGCAGTCGTCCGGCGGCCATCTCGGTCCAACGCCGCATCTTCCCGCTGTCCTTTCCAGAGCAAGATCGGAGGCCAATCTGCACGCCTCGACGTTATCCCTCGGCCCCGGTACGTCGTCCTCCGTCTTGCAGTTCCTGCTTTTTTTCGCGACAATGATATCGATTTTCGCGCCACGTTATGCGCTCCTGCCAAAATTTCACGACACTTTTCCTCTCCTTATTGCAACTTTTCTTCTCCTTATATTCGAGAAATTAAGTAAATTGAGCTCAATTCTAAACTAATTTCTATTAAACTATGCTAGATTAAATAGCACTGGATTAATTTAATTTAACCTAAATTATATACATAACTAAATTATATACATTTATCCGACCAAATAATATCGTAATTGTACTTTGAACGGTTAAATTGCACGCTATTACACAGCGTAGATACCATTTCAGACAATTATTTAAATAAATTAGTTATCTACATTAGTTGTTGCATTTACTTTAACATAATTGGACTTAATTATATATATGTTGAGTGAATATGTTTCTTCTTCAGTTAAGATTAAATGTAAATTGAAGATTTTTTAATTTTTATTTAAATTAGAATTAAAATCTTTCAACTGCTCGTCGTTTGTTACACCGCATAGCGGTGCGACGAGCAACGACGAGCCATCGATAGAACGGAAACGATCGAAAAAATATCGACGGGATGGAACCAGTCGCAATGGCGTTTCCGTTCCCTTTTCGCGAGCGTTGTCGTGCCGATCCGGTATAAATTCCTGTTGCGATCAGATTCGGGGACTCGCGTCGAAACCCGAAGCTCTCGAACGGAGTCAGGTCTCTCGCGTGCAATAAAAACGGAATATGCTTTCGTTTGTGCAACGCGATCCGGGCCCGTATTTCATCGTCGTGGCGTCGCATGTCACGCTATATAGTCCATTATACCCGTTATTACACGTGCCGTACCTCTATGACTCTATGACTTTAGGTTCTCTGTAGATTTGTTTCTCTTTGGCTACGTCAAGTTACACTATCCATTCAAAGAATGAAATAATAATCGCGCTCGAGAATAAAACATAAAGAGTTTGAATTTAAATATAAATGAAGGAAAATAATATATAATTTGTGTATAAATCATTCCGTCACATTTATTATAACGATGAAATCTTTGATTATTCTCTCGCTATATCTTTACAAATAATTCGACATTGAAAATTATCGCGTAAAACTAACTAATACCAGCGTGTTTCACATTTAATATCATATATTCACGTCGAATTAATTTATCATAATTTACTTTTATAAATGTTTGCGCATTTATACATACATAATAATACATTGCTGTTATTTCTCTCGCGGAGAACCTGTCTTCTCTATTTCCAATGTCCCTTCGGGGATACGATGCCCATTCCACTCTCCGACATTCACTCTGACCATCGTTATCGTCCGCTGACCTAATTGCCCTGGTTTACCCCGAAACTACCCTCGCATTATCCCGGGCTCATCCTCATTCCCCGCCAAACCCTCTTCCCTATCTCTCTCCCTCTCCCTCTCCCTCTCCCTCTCCCTCTCCCTTTACACCTCTCACAGGCTCGGTCAGTTACACAGCGCTTTTGGTTTCCAGAGGTTCCAGAGACCCCACCCCGACCGAGATCTATGGCGCCCCCCACGTCCCGCAGCAGCGGTGGCGGCACCGGAATCGGCGCCGGCGGTTGGGGGGACGCCCCTCTCGCCAGAGCTCTTTTTGCCTATCTTAGCTCGGGAGAAAATCAGCTAAGCTTTCTGGAGGGTGATCTCATCGCTCTGATGGGTGAGTATATATATATATATATAACTACACAATTGAAGGAAACTTAATAAAAAGAAATTCAATAATATGAAATATAAAGATAAATTAATTATTCACTCTTCTTTCTCCTGGTTTTTAAATTTTTACAATAGGAAAGAGACTTAATTGCAAAAAAATGTTGATGAGGATAGAGTATAAGTGAATGTTGCGTTGCAAATTTGCATATTTTTCATTATCTTTTTTATCAGGAGATCGTCAGAAGGGATGGCAATTTGGCGAGAATCTCCGCACTCAAAGCTCGGGTTGGTTTCCCTTGGCGTATACCGAAATTATAATCGACGATACTTTGGGGTGAGTAAACCTTATCCAAACCTCAAAGTGCGAGAACGTCGAAACTTCGCACTTACGCGCTATCGCGCAGAATTAATCCTTCAAACTCGAAATATTTCACGAAACAACATCTCGCATTTTAATCAGAAAATTACTAAAAATTTTATCATGAAGAACCTTTAATATATTGTCGTTTTGTATTACCAGATATTATTATCGAGCCCTCTAAAATTTTGCATTAAGAATTAATTAATATTTTTACTGGTTATTTATCTCTTTTTTTGTTTTTTTTGTTTTTTATTTGAATTACATTCAATCCATTCTCGCGAACAAATTTTCCGAATGGACCAATTTCTGCGTCATTTAAGCGCGCAGTGAGTTGAATAAGTTTTGTAATGTAGAGTTTAATGCCGCCAATTTAATTATTGTAGCATTAGAATGATCGATACGCTTGTTATTTTACATTTAACCGTGTTTGGAAAATTTTTCGAGTGTGTGCGTACTAACTTGTATTATCGAATTGCGCAAAGATCACCCAGTCATGGAGCGAGCCACGGTAGGACGGATTTGCAAGCTATTCCGCCGTGCAAGCCGCCTCCTTCTCGACCGCCAATTACACCAGCTAGTATCGACGATTCATCTGGGGGTACCACGGGCGCTAACAGCAACTCTGCCAACAGCAACAACGCCAACAACAACAACAACAACAATAGCTGCGTTGGCACACCGACCAATAACGCGAGTGTTCTGGCGACTCCGACAGCGCGTCAATCAAAATCGGTGAGTTAAATCTATTATCAACATGTGCTTTTCTGCTTATTTTTTGCTTATTATATAACTTTGCCACAAAACACTTGCTTGTGTGTGCATCGCAGTACCAAGATTGATTTATTTAATTCAAATTAACCTAGTGTTTTGTCACAAATGACAAAGCTTTCAATCTAAAAAGAACAACTTTATAAATACTTAATATTATATCATAGCAATGTGTGTGTACATCATATTATTAATGCGATGCAAAAAAATTAATAACAGTTTGTTAATTAAAAAATCAGAAATAATGTTTATAATAAAAATTACTAATAATAGTTTCTCTTAGTTTTCTTATTGACACTTTTGACCAAGACTGTGCGTCTTAAACTATTAATCCGAATTGTAAGCTTTGCCACAAAACACTTGCTTGTGTATGCATCGTAGTACCAAGATCGATTAGGCCAAATGTAAAAGAGTAAGAAAATCAATTTTATCTGCATTTCAGATCCGTCCATCAGGTACACTGCCCGCAGTGCTGGCCGGAGGGCGAAGGGTGCAACCGCCCGTGCCCCCGGTGCCACCTCCGGCGATGACGTCCCTCCATAGCAGCAACGACAGTGGCTTTTCCAACGAGCCCCCAGTGCAGCCCGACGTCGATTATAGCGACGACGAGGTGTTGAGGTAAGTCATTAAAAGCTACCTCTCTCTACCGATTGCAAACTTACCTTCGCTCTTCGTTTACTCACATGACCTTTAATTGGATATCATTTTGCTTGTTTTATTTGAAAATAATATAATTAATACAATAATCAATTATAATAATAAGAAGATGATAATTACAAACAAATAAATTAAAGAATGGTCTCTATGTATCTATTGGAAAGAGATTTTTTTTGTAATTCTCGCAACCTGTAAATTATTTTAATTATTGCTGTAAAGGAGAATTTGCATAATTTACATAGACTACATCAAGGATGAAACCGATAAAATTTTACTGATTTCACACGAAACGTAGACGCAGAAATTATTCCTACATCGATTTGTGACAATAAAAACATGATAATTGATATATATATGAGATCTATGTTCTTGATATGAGGGAGAGAGACTGTTGCACTTGGGGATACGCTAATTATGTTTTTAACAATAATGAGATTTTTGGTAGCTCAATCCCATCATTTTCTTTTAATCACCATTTGTCTACAATCTGTATAATGACATGCTCACTACAGTCATTTAGTTTTCATAATTTTATATTTTTATATCATATTTAATATCTTTTTCGTAATTTTTTAAAAGATCTTTACCAAAATTAAAATACACTATCGCATATTAATCTCAACATGATTATATCGGTTTCAATCCTTAATTTACATTAATTACATTTAGAGTATCATTATTCATTTGCAGAAATCCGATAGCGAATGTAAATCACTGATTACTTACATACAATATAATATATGTATTTCAGATCCTTTCGATTCTCTGATATTTCTGCTTTTTGAATGATACGTTCTGATAATTAGCGGATAAGTGCACCTTCGCTTTACCCTATTCAGTGTGAGATTGAAGCTTTATATCATTGTAGCGCTGCCATTCTGCTATCAATTGTCTCTTCGTAATTAGTCCGATTTTAATTCTTCTTTCACCCTCGTTTTCGCTCTCCGCACTCAATTTGATTGGTTTGTGATGATATTGCGAAGAATAGGATTCTGACAATGTCGACAATTGTAATTAATTTCGGATAAAGCAATATCGAATTGCCATAATCCTTCAATATAGAGGAGCTTACGTAGTACATCTATCTAACTTATATACTTGTCAATTGCTACACGCATGACATATAATTCTGCAATCTATTATATTATGTATACTAACAAAATAGAAAGATTCAGAATATTTAGATAATTATTTGGCTTGTTATTACTGCGATTGTTTTTATACCATCTTTCAGTAGCAACTTTGGACAACGCGATAGCAAATTAATGTACTATAATGCATAATAGCATGATTGGTATGGTAAGATTGGCATGATAAGTCTTTTTTGGCACTTTTTAATCTAAATTCGATCAAGTTCGATTTTTATTACATCATCTCTCTTTCTTCTTTTCCTTTCACGATTTAAGCAAATAAGTATGTATCTATTTCATATTTGAATAATTTATTATTATTTCATGATTTTTTACTTATTTACTATGCAGTTTTTATTTGCGATTAGAGGCTCTATTTATCGCAAATTCTTTCATTTTACACCACACAATGCTAAAGAATTAATTTTTATTCTCTATCACCTACAAGAGAAATAAAAACATTTTTATTTCTTATGAATCGAACTCTCGGCCGCACTCATCGTCAGATCTTCTAACCGGAAAATTAATTATTTCCGTTTCTTCGAAATATGTATCTCTCCTTCTTGTAGATACCGCATGCGCTATCGTGGTCGCTGGAAATAAACCGCCGTGGTGGTGGTTCTCTGCATCTTCGCCAGCCTCTACCTTTCTAATTCCTTAATTCTCTTTCCGCGTCCTGTTTTTTTTTTCTTCTTTATTGACCGCGCCGCGCACACAGACAACGGCGCCGGAAGCCGCGAAGCGGAGGAGATCGTCCGTCCCCAAAGGATGAGAGGCAGGCAAAGGACTGGGAGAACGATTCTTGGAAGACGATCCCGCGGGACGAGAAGTCCTGGCAGCTGTATCGCACGGCAATGGATTTATGGGCGGAATCCAAAGCCAATCGCACAGGCGAGGATTCGAAAAAGTACTTTGAAATGGAGAACGGCGACTTTGGGCTGGAGAACGGCAATATAACGAAGAAGAGGAAGAGCAAAAAGATGGCACAGCAGCCGAACGAACGACCTAGCCCGAATCAGCGCACGAAGATGGCGGACGAGCGGAGCGCACCAGCTGTTACTCGTCACGGCGATCAGCGACGCGTAGACAAGCGGACGCAGGCAGAAACCGAAGAGGACGAACTCGAGGAAGACGAGGAAGATTTTGGCGCCGAATGTAATAATAATAATAATAATAATAATAAGTTTTACGGAAAAAATCAGGAATCTCAACAAGAGCGACGAGGAGGAAGCGGTTTCGAAGCAGACAAATACGCCAAGTCTTCGAGCTCGTCATCGGAATCCGATGACGAGAGTACTATCACCATCCCGGAACCGGGCCGTAAGGTTGAGCATATAGCGCAGAAGCTCGAACAGACCGCGCAAAAGTATGCGCGCGAGCATAGTCCGCCCAAGTTTCTTGAACGCCGCGAGAGGACAAACGCGGCAGAGTACAAGAGCCTGGAGAGGGAAACGCGCGAAACACCTTCGTCGCGCGAACGTCGCGAAAGATCAGCCGTGGAATATAAAAGCCTGGAGCGTAGCCGGGACGGTGGCCAAAAGAATTCGGAGCGCTTGCGCGACGACAAACATCTGCGAGATGATGAACGCACGATGCGGGACGACAAGCACTCGCATGAACGAGGTTCTCGCGAGGACAAGCAAAACTTTGGACGCTTGAGAGACGACAAACAGAGCTTTGAACGTTCGAGAGAGGAGAAGGCAAACTTTGAACGCGCAAGAGAGGACAAACAATGTTTCGAACGCTCAAGAGAAGACAAGCAGATTTTTGAACGTTCAAGGGAGGACAAGCAGAGCTTCGATCGCTCGCGAGAAGACAAACGGAGCTTCCAGCGTTCCCGCGAGGAAGCGCAGTCGTACGAACGTGCTCGCGCTCGTTCTAGAAACGACCAAGAACGCGCGTATACGGAGCAACGAAAGGAGGTAATGGGTTACGAACGAACGTTTGAGAAAAACCGCAATAGAATGGTCGAAAGATTGTCCGGTCGACGATTCGAACGACCGCGGCCCCCATCGCAGGAGGCTCCAGAACGGCCTGTTGGACCCTACCGAGAACGCAGGTATTCCGATAAGGAAGAGGTGATTTATGGAGAGACCGGCCGATATGGAATAGATTCGCTCGAGAGAGATCGCGGTTATGAGTCAAACTTTGAGACGAAATTGGAAAGATCAAAGGTGATCGAGAGACACGGTTATCACGCAGGCCTGCACGGTCCAGATGCGGTTCAGAAGCGAAACATTGTACCGAGAAATAGCGAGCAAAGTAACGGCGATACCAATAACAACACACTCAAGATGGAGCGAAAATCACCGCGACAGGGTCATATTACCGGCATGGGCCATCTCGCGCAAACCGGCAGAGCTTTCGAGGAAGCAAAGAGCCCGAAGCTCGTAAAGCGGACCAAGTCATTCTGGAAGTTTCGTCGAGACTCGGAAGTTTTGGAAGGTATGGCGCTTTGGCAGCACCGCTCGCTCGTGGACATTCCAAAGATGATCCGCAAAGAAGACAAGATGGCAGGAAACGAGGAGAAGCAGAGAAACTCTGAGGGCGGTAGTCCGAATTCGAGTCTGGGCAACAGCGAGAGCACCATCACGAACGAACATCGACACGAGGAGCCGAAACCGGCTGAGAGAAGCCACGTGCCCGACAAGATGAATTACTTTGATGATTTTCCAACGCCAGCGGAACGGCCCAAGATCACGGAAAGATCGGCGTATAGAATTCAACAGCAGCCGGAGGAACGCGCATACTTTGTCGGCAACGTGTCGCGGAAGGCTATTATCGAGAAGGAGCGTAAGCGCAGTCTCGAGGCGAAACGAAATATGATCGTGGCCGAATTGAAGGAGAACAACGAGAGTAAGCGCAACGAGATCTTGATGCACAGCCGGAGAAATTATGACGAGGAGGAGGACGCGACCTTGAATTTTAGCGAGACTGAAGCTTCCGATGAGGAATCTACATACAGTTGCATCGTCGTTAAGGACCAGAGCATACCGGAGAAGACACTATTGCCGAGGACTAAGCTGAGAAGGGAGTCTGACCGAGATAGGAATACTTGCGGACCCTGGTACGATCTTTGGGGTATGGACGCGTCTGTTAATAAGAAGAAGAGAAAGCAAAAGCAGCAGTAAGACGAGCTGATATGAGATTATTACAAACATGTTAAAGTTAACTGAATATTGAGCTTAAGAAACAAAGATGATGAACGGAAAATGGAACATGGAACAGAGAGAGAGAGAGAGAGAGAGAGAGAGAGAGAGAGAGGAAAAACTAGAGATTGGATTCTTATCTCAAGAAGGAGAAGTGCACGATTGGTACTAAAAATATGAAAAAGAAAGAATAATTAATAGAAGAAACGGCAATTTCCGTTGCACGCGTAACATGTGTGTTTTAGTCTTTTAAAATAAATTGCACTGGTAATTTGCGAGCGAGAAACAATCGATTCAAATTTGTATCAGCAAACAGATATTGAGCTTGCAAATTGTTGTCGCATGTACATACGTTATTAATTCCACTCCAAACATCTTAAATTCATCTTATTTATTTTGAATTTTTCGTGGACCACCTTTTCATGAAACTAATTCCGTGAATGATCGACTCCACATCCCACTTTGATGTATTCGTGTCGGCAAAATCTTTTTCGCTCTGTCTCGTCTTCAACGATTGGCCGTTGATGTTGTAGGAGCTTGCAGCATCGTCGAAGAAAGCGCTCGATACACTTTTGCGACGACTTCTAGGCTAGACTTATCCTTGCGGAATGGAACGAGCTACTTTACCGGATGATGCATCGCCATTGGTCGTGACTTTTGTATCGTTATCCGCTATTGCTGCACGCGATAGTTCTTTTCGTTTTTGTTATTGTTAGCATAGCGCAAGTCATTCGCTACATTATTTACAACTGTTTCAAACTCTTGTCATTTTTAATTGTTATCAGTCGCTTCGATTGTCTTGCAAATTAGTTTGAAAAATCACACGCAAATGTATTTCTCTATATGTAAATTTAGGATTTAAATAAAGGCTTTAATTAAGCGCTGTATGATCAGTGACAAAAATATTATTTACTTTCATAAAAAAAAAAAAAAACATTAAAAGAGATATTCCAAGCTAAAAGAAATTGGATATTAGTAACTAAACAGTTTGCATCTCGTGCTCTTGAAGATTTTTTTTTTTTTTTTTTTTTTTTTATCTAAAGTTTCTGTCGTTCGTGTATAATCACATGTGATCATCCAGTAATTAAGACGTATATGACGAGTAACCCGATTAACTGCAATTAACACCTTTCAGGACAAATATATTCGCAACTGTCAAGCTGCGAAAGACGAAGACTAACGACCGTTCGGCGCCAGCACTGTCATGAGACAAGTTCTTTCTCTAGATGATGTGTTTCTCATGCTAGTAGCGATTGATGATAAGGGAACGAAGGTGTCTCCCTTTTGTTGAACAAGTTCCTTCGTCGCGCAGCTTTTTCTCCTCGAGACCAGAATCAACTATTATCAAATGGTTATCTAATAGCAAATTTTTTTCAAACGGAAACGCGATGCTAACCCTTTCCGTATCTACGCGCCGTGATATGTGTCTGTGGACAGAATATGTATCTATCATATTTTTTTATGATTTCTTTCAAAAGTATTGATGCGCGTTATTTGAAACACGATGTGAAGCATTGTATGAAAACAGTTTGTAGTTTCATGATATTAAATGAAGCATTCTATAGTGTTACGTAAAGATTTAAAAAATATCATAATCGTGTGCCAATACAATTTTACAGTGTCAAATGAATGAAGGGACTAAAATAATATTAACGTATTTTCACATGTTAACAGTTTAATTACATATGTACGTTGACACAATACTACAATGAACGAAAAGTTCACTGTAAAACTGATCCAAAAGTCCATCATTTGTAAGATTCTACATAAAGTTATGTATATCTAAGATATAGATCTTACGAATCATAGACTACTTCTCGCTCCAACAGCCTTTTAAACTGACAAAAACTGGAATTCTCTCGACAACTCGTGAAACGAGTCTTAAGATTAACGAAAAGAGATTGTTATACACATTTATTGCTATCAATATATTATATTTAACTCTACATACTTAATTATATTCCCTACTTAATGTATTTAATTAACACTGAAAGTGTACTGAAAGGGTTAACGTCTGAGAATATTGGATAGTTAACGATTTTGTATCTAACATGCTATTTTGAAGTATTTTTAAGCGTTTTTCAACATGTATTTTAAGATAGATATAGTTTAAGATAATATTCTAACGTAATTTAGGCACGAACGCGAAAAAGAAGACGTCCAATTCGGAGCGAAAAGTAAGGCGGGTTTTAGGGCAACCATTTTTTTGTAACTTGAAATGCGTTAGTGTTAAGTATTCATGGAAGTCCAGGATGCAGAGATGTTAATATATTACGAATAATATATTATAATTATACACAATTATATAAACGATCGTCCGAACCTGATTGCGGCAATTTGGGTTATATTAGATTAGGTTAAATAAAATTGTTGTAATAAGAATCATGTATACACACATGCATACACGTTATATATATTATATATATTATTGTTATTATAAATACACCAATTTTTTAACGTGCATTTGCAGTTTTATATAGTCGTCGTATCTCCTTTTCGTACAATAATATGTAATATTATTATATTAATGGTTTTTTTTTGTTTTTTTTTCTTTTGTAATGTAAATGTCGGCAACGTAGCTGACAACACGAGTTTCCTGCAGCGAGATATTAAACCTATTACGATTTCGGGTCAATATAATGCGCGCGTGTGTGCGCGTGTACATGTATTTGCTTTACTTTGAACCGCCGAATTCCACGGGTGGCTTTTTGGCTTATGGAATGCGCCAAAGCTGAGCATATTTGCCAAGCGGTTAATTATCATTTGCGGCTGCCCGCCCTCTCAAATCCCTTCATCAGCTATCCTGCAGGATGAACGCACTGTCTGGCCAAAAAGAAAATTTAACAGAGAATAATTTGACTGAATAATGCTTTTTTTATATTCTTCTCGAAATTACTGTAATTAAAGCAGGAAACAATATGAAGACATCTCTCTTGACGGTTTATCTTTTTTCTTTTTCTTTTTTTTGTAAATTTATTAAGGCTGAAATATAAAAGTTTTACATATAAATAATATTAATGAAGCGATTTTATTCTTGTGGTCTTGGCTAAGCGAAAGGAGGCAATCTCCGGTAAGAATGTAATATACTAGAGGAAGCAGACGTATATTAACGAATAATCCGTTATTGTTTATTTACTTATCTACAAGCACATTGTAAAGTCATTTTAATTTTTTTCGCTTTTTATACCATCTTTGTGTCTATTTTTATTTCGTTTTAATCATAATTGAAAAGCAATTTTTCTCTTCAAAATGAATACTTGGGTACTGCGCCACACCATTCCTGAAGAAACACCAGGATATCGTTCAACGGCGATTCCGGGGGCGCCTGTCTGGCTGTGTTGGTCAACTTAGTCCAGTCGTCGCGATCAGCCACGCGGCTGGTCTCCTCGAATTTGATGACCGGGCCGCGTACCGGATATCCCGTGATTACACATTGTTGAAGAGGCGTGCCGGAGTTAGTCGGTGACGTCAACGAACCGACGTAAACGCCTCTCTGGTCGACCGGCAGACCCTGCTCGATCTTTTGATCCATAGATATTGCCAGCACCCATTCTCTCGCCTCCTCGCGTTGATCCGTTGCGACGCCGAGACTTTCTGGAAGTGGAACTTCCAGCGGAAAATCGGTGACGCGTAGATCGTCCACGTCGAGAACAATGCCGTCGCCCTCTTCCTCGATACATTCCTCCAGATCGAGGAAATGATTGAGAAAAACAAAAGCTTCGCTCAAAAGACCCGCGGAACGCACCGCGACGCCGGCTTCGTAGTAAGATCTGTCGGCGTGGAGTACGTCGGTGTGTCGCAGGAGGCTGACAGACACTTTGACGACGATACCAGAAAGCGCCGGGAACGAACGACAGCCATGTTTCATCGCGGAAAAATGCGCAGCCTCTAAAAGCCGCTCGAATCTGTTGGACGACGACGATAAGCGGCAGAGACCGTGTAAAACATCGCGCAGCTGAGCTAGGTATCTGGAATTAGATAATCAGCGAATAAAATGAGCGAAGAAAGTAAAAAGAAAATAAACGCCGTATTAAACCGAACAGAGAATACGAATAAATCTTTCAATATCGACACCTCCAACATAACAAATGTGGAAAGCGAAGGAGGTCGACAGAAAATCAATGTTAAAGAAAATGAACAACGCGAAAAGAATACGGATTTCAATAGGGGAAAGAAGAAATTTTTGTAAGAGAATATTGCCGGCAGATTTTCTCGTCAGCAGCGATATATCGTACCTGTATTCTTGCTGTGCCATATTCAGAATACTCTCCGCCAATTGCAGGTATAGATTGAAATTCTGCGAGATCGCGGGCGCGCCATACTGCGCATAGAGTTGCAACGCTTGCGGTGCGGAATCGCTCTTCAGCAACTGCGCGGCGCGTCGCGCCACAAACCTATGCAGCACCTCCGGACTCTGCGAACTCGCAGTGTCAAACACCTGGCTCCATTGACCCTTGCGCGCCATCACTTCGAGGGCGGCGTTGCCGTCCACTTTCGCCAGCCGTTCCATTTCACCCTCATTTGCCATCGCATCCCGGTACTTCTCCTCGAGATACGGTTCGAGATCGGGTGCGAGCTCGCGGACGATCCGACGAGCGCGATCCCACTCGCCGACTGCCACCAGTGAGCTTACCGCGTCCTTCAGACGATCCGCCTGAAGAAACACCTGCAATGATATTATACGTTGCTCAACCATCAAGCGCTCAATTTTTAAGGATTTTTATCTCGTCATTTCGTGCTCTTGATCTTTACATCCAGATCAAGTATAAATAGACGAACTGGATTCCTTCAGGAGTCGGACTTGTCAGATGATTTCAACAGAGCATTGAATCGTGGACAAATATATAATTGTATGATTGTAAATAAATAAAGTAAAAATACCTGAGCGGCGAGCGCGTGTTCACCAACGGAGAACAAACGTGCACCTAGGTCACCTCCGATTTCCGATGCTGTTTCTGGATCCGCTTGATGCAACATAATATCAGCCGCACGAATGAGATACGATCTGGGCGCTTGCGGGTTCAAGATCAAAGTGTCCAGGGCAGGTCGTACTTCGCCGAGATCAAGCCACTTCCGAGCCTCCTCCAACGCATTTGCCCCGTCCAGTCCCGCACTCTTCTGACCCAACTCTCTACGAAGGGCCGCCTCCTGACTGGGCAAATACTCTCGACACACTCGCAGCGCCTCAGACCACATTCCGGCTGTCTGAAATAAATTCGTTTTTTTTTCTCACAAATCAGAAATAATCATAGTTAGGCGAAAAGTTCTTTCGCAGATTGACAATTATTTTTTATATGATAAAATAATTCTCTTCCAATTAAATATTTATTCTTTTTAATCGTATTGTGGCTCCTCGTTTCTCACTGCAGTCGTAACTAAACTACGATATTAGAAGTGAGAAATTATATGTGAATATTTTTCTTGTGTAATAATTTAGTTTTCTCGTAAGTCATTTCTCTTTATGAATAAAAATCGAATTTTATGGCGTAATATTTTATAAAATAATCTATAAGAACTTTTTGCACAACCCGCGTAAATTTCGAGAAGACGTTAACCTTATAATGTTCTATTATCATCTCCGGTTTGTGGGCTCTCAGAAGTAGAGTCTCTGCCGTGGCGTAATCTTGCCCCTCGGCGGCTTCGGCGGCTCGGGCGATCAGAACCTGCGCCACTGCCTCCTGACTGTGCGATCGCGCGACATCCTCTGCGGATTCCCAGTCACGGTTATGGATATACATTTGTACCGCTTCCATGACCTTGCCAGCCTGCACGAATTCCTTTTCGGCCTCAGCGAAGCGACCTTCGTCTTCGAGTGCCATGGCGTGGCGATAGTGAATCTCTTTCTTCTGGTCTACCGTACCGTATCTGGCGATCTCTAAAGCCCACTCGAACAAACTGGCCTCGCACGCCAATTGCAGACAGGGATCCAGATAGTTGAGTCGCATAAGGAGTCTCGCACCTAATTCCGGAGCCAATGTTCGGGCCCACATTAAGGCAACCTAAGAAAAATAAAGTTTATTCAGGGATAATAAGAAGGAAAAGGCAACGCTTTTATAAGCTTTTCTAGCATAAATCTCAACCTGCTGTGCTGCCTTTTCTCCTGAAGCCTTCTTGGCAACTCTCAGCGCGTCCTCCCACATATTAGCGGATCTATAAGCTGCAACCGCTCCGCGCCAATCACCAGCGCCTAGGACAAAATATGAATTACGAAAGCTAAAGAAGATTAAATTTTAACCTTTTTTGCGCTTGGATACGATCTCACAAACATATATATATATATATTCCCTTTTAATAGTTTAAAACTATCAGTTGATTTATATTAGATACTGACCTAGAAAGTGCTCTTCGGCTTCTCTCGGCTTGCCGGCTGCATCTAACTCCCTCGCCAGATGCGCATGAGTGGTTTGAAGTAGATCCGGCCGATGCTCTGCGACCAGTCTGATCATGTCGCCGCGGTGTCCCGCCTTGCGATGCATTGCGATCGCCGCGTCGTGATCACCAATGGCGACGTAGAGCGCCTCGGCGTGACGAAGTTCGCCGGCCTGTTGCAGGCTCTCGGCGTGTCTCACCAGGACTTGGTTGGCTTCGTCGCTCTTCATGTATTTTTGAGCTACTTGA